TGGCCACACTATTCCTGACACAAGCCAGGATGCTGTTGGCAGCACAGGTAACAGCAGAGTTGAGGAGGACAAGACCATTTTGCTCATCAGCCTGGACTGTCTTGTATCTCCTCTCTTCTCCCCTGCCATAAAACCTTTGCATTCCAGCTCCCTATCTGCCTCACGCCTAAGCTCTGGTCCACCTTCTGGTGGGGTACAGCTCTACAGTTCCCGGAGATTTTCCCTATCAGCTTTTATAACCTTGATACAAACTTTTCCTGAAGTGAAACAGAATAAAGCCTTAAAGAACTGCAGGGGCTGGCTTGTCCTGCCCCACTGGTAACTGCCACCAGCTCACTCCATCAACCGCGGTGAGAGTTCCAGATGCCACGTTATTCCAGAGTCACATTAAAGCATTATACACGTTTCTTTCCAATGATCCTTTTCAAGCCACAGAATCTAAACCTCATCCGCTAATATCATACCACTACTTACATTTGATACTGGCATTCAAAACAAAAGACGTATTTTTTTAATTGTTTTAAAATGGCTATATTTTCTGAAGGAAAATATAACTATACTGACGCATGAGAACAAGGAAAAGAGATTCATATAAACATCTCCCAAAATATTCTCTTCTTAACACTTGCTTACATTACAGCTATCATTAACTAAAAAGGCATGAAGAAAGAAATAAGAAACTTGGTTTTGTTCTCAGCAAAAAAACCCCAAACAAAACCAAAGCACACCACTTTCAACTGAGCCACTTACCCTAAATGAGAATTCAAGGTTTTCTCCTCCCCAGACTTCCATTCCTGTGTCATAAGAACCAAGATAATCAAAATAATTCTTGCTCACAGAAAACAATCCACCTGCCATGGTTGGAGACCTGTAAGATAAACACTGTGTTAATACAAATTTTTGCAATTACAGTGTCTTGGTGAGCAGCCATAAATGACTAGCCTCTTACCTTCACATTGTATTACATAAGCTTTTACTGTGGCAGAATTAGTTTAGTCAGCTCTGAAATTCTAAGTGCAGTATCCTTATATATTTTACTTAAGTAGTAAGTAAACACGTTTGTGCTTTATTAATTAACAACATTTCTGATCCCATTAATATCAAGTAGAAAAACTCGCAGACATCAACTGAGCAGATTTAAGTAAATAGAGCCCCTGAAGAGATTTTTTTGTTTCTAAGATCTGCCCATCTGTATTTTTTTTAATTGTTTGCTACGTTTGGAAGAAAAATCGGGTGTCAAGACTGGCTCCTCACTGAAGACCACAAGGCCCAGAGTGACAGCGCACATAGGAGATGTACTTTAAGTAGGGTAGTGTGTGTGCATATATATAGACTTCAATTTGTTTATTATTGTTCCTAATTGTTTACAGTCTTAGAAAATGACCCTCTTTAAAGTGCCAAGCATATAATGCTGGAACTAAATTCAACTGACACTTTATGAATTTTACTAAATTGCTGTTGAGGTAAATATTAACAAATGCTAGGTGCAGTGATCAGTTACTCTTAATCTGTCAAAACTAGTTTTATCAGCCACCTTTTTGAAGCCACACTGTCTTACACTGTCCTATGTTGTTTCAAAGAATGGAAAGAGATGAGGTGAGACAGAAGGAAAAAAAAACAACCCCAAACTCCATAACCAGTCAAGCTCTTCTGTCTCAGTCCAGATCTCGTCTTTCCAAACACAGCTGTCAGTGACACCGCTCTCAGCACTGCTGCTTTCTCCAGACGCTTGCCAGGCTCCCAGTCCTCAGGCTACCATGAAGCTTTATCCCTCATCATTTTCCCCTTGGCATGCTAAAGACAATTCTTCTTGTCGTGGAGAAGAAAAGCATCATATTTAAACTAAAGGCTTTAAAAATGTTTACTCTATTTCACAACTTTTTTCAGGAGGATGTGGACCAATATATGCTGAGAAGGACTAAATTACTGCCTCAATTTTCCCATTTAAAAAAAAAAAAAAAAATGTTCTCTCAGCTAGGATAAATTCATTAATATTTGTGAAGTACTGGGTATTATCACCATGCTAAACACCCTAGAAAAGACTGGGAAAATTCTGAGAGAATTCTGTATTTGTTGTAGTCCATAAGATAACAGGTTATAAATAAAAACAAGGACTAACAAAACCATGGTGTTAAAAATGCCAAACAACAACTTCATTTCTTACAATACACTAACAGCAACTTCCAAACTGAGTGTAGCAGACCCTCAACTATCAGGATTTTTTCTACAGTGTCCATTTTCCAGATGCATTGTTTGTACTCTCACCTTGTGTCTCCTAAAAATACAGTATGGAGTGAGAAATGATACCAACTGATTGAAACTTGTCTTAAAACAAAACTAAAACCCGCAAGGAAGACATCTGCACGAGCTCCTATGAATTAGCCCTTCATAGAAGCTATGGTGTGTAGGGCTGTATCACTTCATCCCAATGAAGAACCGGCAAACTGGTTCACCTCTGAAAACAGAAAAAGGAACCACCACTATTGCTACGGCACAGATACAGTCTTCAAAACTACTTTTGCCTTCTTACTGGTTGATCGTTTTTTTCCCGTCTTCATCATTGACCATGATACATTTTTTACAACGCAGACCTCTTTGCTTTGCACAGAGGACATCCTTTAGTATTAGTTCATCAGTTACAACCTTCCCGTGTGCTGATAAGCATCTGTGGGAGTTTGCCTGCAGGAGTCCAGAGACTGCTAGTGCAATAAGGATTCCATATGGAAGATTACACAGGCATTTCAGCTTTTACAGCAGTATTTTTTTCAGGAGCATGGTGAGCAGGACCTATTTTGGGAAAAAAGGGAACTAAACAAGATATGTCATTTTTAGTATTATGCTCATTTCTCAAATGTTTTTCAGCAGCTGGCATTTCCAAGTGAAGTCAAAAGCACTTGTAACATTCACAGTTTCATAAGATGCATAAAAACTAACCTGATCACATCAGTCTTGGACTTCCTCCGGTTTTGTTCTCTTTCAGGGGTATTATGCCAAGTGAAGACCAGTCTCCAGTCAAATCCGCCAATCTGTGGCTCACCAGCATTTCCCAAGTACTCAAATGTATTCCAGTCAATAACATCAATAACAGGGCAGACAACAGCTGATTCTTCTTCCGCAATCCTAATACGATTTTAACAGAAAAGAGCAACTTCCATTAGGAATGTCTCTCAAAAACTAGAACTGTCAAGAACAGAGAACACTACAAATACCAAACACAAAGTTTTGCTCATTTGTAACTCATGCTGCAATACAAGGAAAGGACAGCTACAAGAACAACCACCGATTTCTTGCTGAGGGTGCATCAGGAGGATGCATCAGGATGGACTCAGCTATAGGCACTTTGCAAACATCAATATTCCTGGACAGCGGAAGTGAGGTATGCCAGATGGGTTGAGATAACACATTCAGCATCTGGCGTGGCTGACATATCCAGCACTGCATTCTCAACAAAAACATCTATTTTGTTTTGTACAGGTAGCTGCATTCAAGATATTTAGAAAGCAGCATGACTATCATTCTGCCAAGATGAATAAGGTAGCTAGGCTCTTGGCTCATCGCTGTTCTTGTAACTGTGATCATCTGCAAAAAGTTATACTGAGCACTACTTTTTGAGCAACTCAAAAAGAAGCCATGGGCTTAAAGAGAAAAAAAAACCAAACATGCAACACAGGAATTAGATCTCCAACAGTGAAACATACATGAAGGCAGCCTCCAGAAACCCTGACCACACAGGAGAGAAAAAGGAGAAATGAGATAGTTCTGCAGAATGACACACCTATCAGCAAGGCTGATGTAAAGATAGTTAAGATCTTTATCATACTAAGAATACATCAGAGCTGATGACACTTCTTTGCAGGTCTACTTCTGCAACGAGATAAACTCCTTGCTCCCACTTCTCAGTACCGCACAGGGTTTTCTGCATTCCTTTCCAAAAGCATTTGCCCTTACAAAAGGCCTTGGGATCCTTTGCCTTCACCTCAACTTCTGGAAAGGCCTCTCAGTATCAGGAGAGACCAACTTCAAGCACATGAGCTCAAGCTAAGGCTTTTCTCCTAAATCACTCTTTAGCAATCTTCTCAAGGCTAGTTTTAGACATCTCCTGTTAGTTCAGTGAAAAACTGACTTGTTTGACTTTAAGATGCTGGTACTTGTTTTAGCCCTGCATCTTCTGATTTGGGTATTCCAGAGGAGAAGAAAAACTGAACACATATTGCTAAACAAGGAGGAGGCCTGATCTATCTGTCATTCAAGGGGAGCCAGTTCCTCATGGGATTATTAAGCTTAAAACCCGCAGGCTGACCAAGGGGCTCTGACTCTGAAACTAGAGCAGCTTGTGGTGGTTAAACGCAGCAGAGAACAGAAGCAGTTCCAAAGAAGTATTGTCTGAGCTGAGAAAGACTGCCTTTAAATATGAAATGGTCCCTTGTTGCCAGAGGGAAGATGTGACACAGCTGTTTTCTTCTTTATGATCTCCCATTGAAATCCTGTTTGGTAGAGTGCACAAAAGGGCTTATACAAATATTGCTATCTCCTGTCTCACTTGCGTAAAGCTTATGTACAAAGCAATGAGAATGATATGCACACAGAGGAAAAAAAACCCCAATAAAATGTAAAAATGCTTTGTTGCTCCTGTAAAGGAAAAGGAGTAAAAATTAGGTACCTGGCATGTGATTTCAGTTATGAAAGGAATCAGGTAAGTGAAAGCCAGCACCTTTTCTGTAAGTTCAGAATTAACTAGATGGTACAATGCACAGGCAGCTTACAAACAAATACAACTATGTTTGCACTGCAAAATGCTAACACTGTTGTATTGCTTCCGCAAATTTGAGTTGAGATATGCCATGCAAACATCCCCTTTGAGATGTACGTCTGCATCTGCAGCAAGAAGGGCAAAAATTCCAAGACACATCCAGGGCTAACTTTTTACAGACGATGATTTATTACACTTAAAATTATCGCAATCCTTCCTCAAGATTGCCATCTAGTGGTTTACTAAAGAAGTGAAGAAGTTACAGAATCGTCTCCACAGTTACATACTGTCTCTTCAGAGGAGAGTTGTTAAAAACATGCTTATTCTTTGATTTTTACCCCTTTTCCTTTCTTCACACTATACTGTTCACAGTTAACCCACAGTTATCTGGGATATACTTGGTATGAAATCTAGAAACAAGTTAAATATGACAATTTTAAGAAAAAAAATTAAAATATTATTCCAGATACAATTTCAGATGGACATGGGGAGTTTGAGAACACAAGTTCCCCTAGGAATGAGGAAGACTCACATGCCTCAAGGCAGCATGCACTTTTGGAAACGTCTCTCCAGCTGGAGAGAGACGGATTAGCTCAGGACCGGGAAGACAGAGTTTATCGACTTCTCTTCCAATCTGCTTATGTGTACGTTGCCCTGAAACAGGGGATGTCTCAGGGCACGCATCTTTCCAGACCTTCTCATCCACCACACAGGTGATAGAAGTAGCCACCTCTCCCAAGGTAGTTTCAAAGCTGGGGAAGGATTCCTCTTCTGAAGACAAAAGTTTCCCTTCTCTGAGGAAAAAGAGCAGCCTGGTCCTCAGGAGAAAACAAAAATCCACCTCCTGATCTTCCACACTTCCATTTCCTACCCCACCGCCAGGAAACAAACATTGGCATGCCTCAGGGACCAGATTGCGGTAACCTTGGGTAAATGTCTACCAAGAGCCGTTTTTCCACTGCAGAAGTGTGCCAAAGCATCTCTTCTCCAGAAAGAAAACCAGCCCAGAGCATAACCTCACCTTGCCAGCAGCGGCTCCAGCCAGCCCTCGTGGCATTCACAGTGGCAGTCCAGGAACGTCAGGATGTCTCCTTTCGCCACAGATGCCCCCAGCAGCCGGGCGCGAACCAGCCCCTCTCGCTTATTTGCACGGATAAGACGCACCTTGCGTAAGCCAGCCACGTAGTTTTCCAAAGCTTCCTTTAAATGTTCTGTAACAAACAAGTAAAAAAAGAAAGAAAGAATATAGTTCTGGAACGATTGGTTTATGTCGTGCTACAGAACTCTTTTTTCAGTAGCGTATTACTTATAGCAGTGCCTTAAAGATACTGGCATTTTGCACTCTGGTTCTGCTGTACTGTCTGTGTTAGGAAAGGACAAGGAAAAAGCACAGAACTTGGACGGACACAAATCATACTCAAGAAATTGAATGCTTCATATTTGCCTCTCTAATTCATTTCCAAATTGCTAACTGCTTCCCAAACGTTACGTAAAACTTTTTCCATGTAAAAGTTTTATTCTTAACACCGTTCATCTATGTTGGAAAATGCCAGCATCGTCTTTGTGCCCCATAATTCAAACAAGAACAGTTAACCAGGTAGCTCTCACTATACTAGACACCAGGGCAACCTTGAAGCAATCAAAACTGGCTCAAATTAGGAAATCTGAAATGCTCTGACCATACTGTACGTTATCTATATATGCAAGCACTCATGTTACAACACAGCAAACGTGCTTCACCATTCTAAACTAAATTTGGTCCAGAAGTCAAATTTTTCACTGGCACGCTACAAGAAAAGCTATCTTCCAATTAGATGCCTATGTTGTACAGTTTTATGGTATGTTACCCAAACAGTGTATGTTTTTCTCCTGTGGACTGGCTGACCAAAAAAACCCGTCAACAATCAACATTATTTAGAATTATTCTTCCTACCTTTGTCACTGTAATCATCTACAAGGATAACTTCTTCCAAAAGTATATCTGGAGATGTCTCAAGAACACTATGAACAGTTCGCAGAAGTGTTGACCAAGCCTCGTTATAAAAAGCTATCACAACAGAGGTTTTTGGCAGGCTATAATAATCATACTTCTTATCTCTGCATCTGTAAGTGAGGGGATTACATTTAGCATAAGTGCAAAAGCATTTGTTAATTTTCAGAAAACTATTCTCAAATGAAGATTTTGTACGTCATTTACTAACTGTAAGCAAGAACATATAAAGGATCTTAAAAGAACTGTATGTACATTGAAAAGTCAGGCAAAGACTTTCAGGAAGCTGGTCTTCCAGAAGTCCCATTTCCACAGCAGCATTATGACTAAAACCCCGCAACCCCCCAAAACGTCTAGAACGAAAAATAATAGGAGGTATTCTGGTCTGGTGTATGTGCAGTAACTGTCTTTGCACAATATTACCACAAGTAGAAGAGCAAGCAATGGCCAAAACATGCCTCGGATTACAGAAAGAAAAAAGAAATAAAAAGAAATGTAAAACCTAAGTGCAGTAAAAACAGTAGCATGAATTACCGATAACTTGTGCTTTGGAAAATAAAACAAGTGCTAGACAGTAAAAATATAACTGTGAAGGAACAGCAACATATAAAGAGAAAAAAAACCCAGCAACAGAACTGAGATGTATGTACACTGAAGCAGATTTTGGGAAGACCACAGAACTGCCAAGATATAACAGCTAAATCCACAAAAAACACAGACAGACATAGAAACGCACCGTTTTGGCTCTACGGAGAGCCAGGAAGTTTGCAACCCTTTGGATTAAGCTCCAGAATGTATTTCCTATAAATATA